AAATGTTTGAGAAAGATGCGATTAATAAGTAATAAGAACTTATATGATTTTCACAACAATCATTTCTTCCATTTACAATTTAAATCAAAAATATTTGTATTGTTGACGCATTTTGCTAATTTTATTTTATCCATCTCTCATTTCTTGAAGGCTTTTTCAAAATAATTCATTTATATTTCACAAATGCATCCAACATTTCCATATTGAATTTGGAAAATAATTTTAATCAATGGAATTGTTTCACTTATTTTCGACTTCGACAGATTATGATTGGTGATGAGAAAAATGACCATTCCGGAACATTTTTTACTGAAATTTTTGTAATTTTGTTCATCTCTTATCCGTTACATTCGTCCAGAAATATTTTAATTAAATTTTCTTCAGGCGAAACTTTTTTCATTTCAGAAAAATAAAGTGTTATTATCGATGAGTTTTTTTTGCAAGAAAAAAACTTACGCACTTACGCTGAGATTAATTCAGTTCAGAAAATAAATTCAATTAAATTTTTGATTTGAAAACATTGTGTAGATAATTTTAACACATTCCATATTTTTTCAATAAATGTTTAAATACATTCCATATTCTTTCAATAAACCTGTAGATTGAATACATTCTGTAATTAATTATTCGTTATTGTTTTGATTATTTTTTTGAAAATTTAATGAAGTTTTACTCAACCATTGTCATTATGTAATGGAAGAATGTTCGCTTTTTCTTTTTTTTCCACTCGTTAAATATCTATTTTATTAATATAATAATTTGATGAGATTCAAATGATTTATATGTTAAGGGTAAAAACTATATCAAATACACTTTTTCTTAACAAGTATATGTAAAGTTATAATCATCAAGTTTAAGTTATTGAAAGTAAGCATTATAAATTTTTTTTTTACCTTAATGTCATGAATAAAAGATTAATCGTTTTGCAATATTTACGACAATTTTGTCTTTTCGTATGTTTGTTAACATTTCAGTGTAAATGTTTTTATATATGTGTGTTGTTGGGAATTATCAATTATTTATCATCTTTGAAATAATAAAAAATCTTTTGGTGGAAGAATATCTAATTTCCTACGATATATGTCACAAAAAATTTCCTGTGCTAGTTTCGTATGAATATGATATATGATAATACGACGGTAACATTAATTTACCTATTGATGAATCTAACTTATATAAATTTTAATTTACGCGAATGTAAAAATGTCAAAAACGATAATCATCTCGACAAGTTTCATAAAACATATCAATTTTTTTCTCACCAATGATCGGTTTCCGGTATATCATTTTTGATGTCATTTTCGCCACATATTAAATATCATATCGACTAATCCTTCATAGACTTATTAAATATCTCGGGAAATTCCGCAACAAACCTTTCTTATTCCTGATAAAAAAATCCATGTAATTGGATGTTTTTTTCGCTTAAATGAGGAAAATATCCGATGAATGCAGAATTTGAAAATGATAGCAAAGACTGTCTTTTTAGTTTCCTCGAAATTATTCTAATTTTTTTTCATAATTCATTTTCATTTCCGTGTTAAAAATAAGAGGATAAACTGGCGAGACAAATTTTTACGACTTCGTTATGAATATGCGGATAATCGACAAACTAGAACAAATTGATTATTCTGTTTAATACTGATAATCTGAAAAAGACTTTCGATTATTTTTTTAATCTTTATGGTAGCGTACAAAATTTGATTATATATCTGAAAAAAATTAACAAATGATAGTTATAACTTTTGATATTATCTGAAAATTTTTTGAAAACTTTTAACGTATAAAAATTATGAAAATCAGAGTGTTATATTAAATGCATAAATTATAAAGAAATAATAACAATAATTATCTCTGCCTAATTGTAATATTTTATTTTTTAGATAAGTGTGTAATCCTGAGAAGCGATAAGATTCCTAATGATTCCTCGTGCATAAAATGTAAAATGTGAAATTGTGCGAGAGAAACAATAGTCAAAGCTGAGCGTTTATTTCAATTTGTTCAAAATATTCACACTGTATTTTTTGTTTAATTATTTGAATCTTCTACTTTTTATTCAATTAATTCAGTTAAAGGAACTAAGAAATTACATTTTACCTGATAATGATGAAATACAGTATTAAACAGTTATTTAAAAAATACTGAGACATAACTCTGAAGAAAAACAGCCATAATGCATAATCAGCTATGTACATCACTGAGTGCAATATGAAATCGGTAAGGGATAAGCCATAAAGAATTAGCAATGTCATCCAATCATTTTGCAAAAAAAAAACAGCAGTGCGAGTGCATAATTTGAAGTCTAAAACAGTAACTTGCTTGTCCAACTGCGTTTTATCCTTTACATACCTAATTTATATTTTGGAGGTAAAAAAATAACCAGAAATCAAAATTGGATGAGAAAATAAATCAGTCATCTACTATCAAAACTACCTCGTAATCAGTAAAACAATCTTTTCCTATTTCATACAATCCAGCATAACTTCAATTGCTAAATAAATATTAACCAAGAATTTATAAATCATAACAATCCTTATCCTGGTCTTCCTCATCCTGCTTTGCCAAAACATTGAATATGTATTCCAAATCATCATCATCTTTATGTTTTAACGATAATTCTTTGTTTTTGCCATATAACATTTCATTCAACTCTTCGTAACAGTCCACTTCATCCTGTTGCAAATTGCTGTTTAAAAATGAAATACGATCTATGTCCACCAAATGATAATTCTCACATGACACTATCAAATAATGCTCGTTCAGTCAACTGTATTAAAAAATCATATTTTGATAACACTGGTTTTATAACCTTAACAATCAAGCTGCTATTTATAATGATATTCCTTTAATCAGGAACAATAATGATAATGTGAAATAAGAATTATATGACTAACCTCAAGAAACTTTATCAATAAATCCTTCAGTTCCTGGTTTCTACCATTGATAACTAATGCTCCACATAAATCAATAATTGTACGATGCAAAGCGATATCTTCATCATATAAAATTTTTGGTATGAGATCAAGACAAAGCATTTCCGTTTGCGGTAGACCATTACGTAGTATCTCAACAGCCACAATCCTAAAAATTATTTACGATAATTGAATAGCAAATACAATGATGAAAGTGGGCAAAACACATGCATAAGAAAACAACTAAATGTCAATTTCAATTTGCAAATTTCTTGGAAGAGAAAGTTGACCTTGGGGCCGAATCGGAATCTGAAAGCAGTACAGATGCAGCTACATTATTCACATCCATTCGATTTCCAATTTGGTTTAAAAAAAGCAGTGCTTCACTACGGACATACGACTCTTCGTCGTTCTTGGCAATATCAGTGATACAGTGTATCAGCTCTAGAAGAAAGCAATTAATACTGAATGTGAATTAACGTAGTCTCGATATCTGTCAAAATGATTAACTGCCTGTCACATTTACTCTGTACAGCTTGAACACAGTACTGCATCGTTCAACAAATATCTTTATTACAGTATACTAGCGAGGTATCAGCAGAGATCGCTTATAATGCATTTAAAATTTACCAGATCCATTATATCCGTATTTAACTAGCACAGTGAGCTGACTTAAGGCGTTATCTCTGCATTCCCATTTCGGCAAGTTAAGCTGTTCAGCCGCTTTGGAAGCTAAAACTGGAATAATTTTATTACTCCACGTCTCTGATTTTTCTAGTAATGCATTTAAAACCATCGGATTTATCTGAAAAATATATTTATAATAAAATGCAACAATTTATTTCATTCATTTTTTTTCAAACAAAATTCACCGATGTAATCTTCCAAAATAACTTTTTAGTTGTTATTTTAGAAGATTATTTGAATCGATATAAGAAGCAACAAATTTCATGCAAATTACGCAACATCTAAATAATATATAAGTATCACGTGACTTTATGTGACCTCGTAACATTAAGACAATCCTTCCGATTTCTTTTATTAAATATTGAAACTAGTGATACACATTTAGACAAAACTATAAATATAAGCAAATATTTACCATATTATGAAGCTTCAAAGCATCATACAAAGAATCGAGCATGGCGATAGATGGATTTTTAAGGCTTGCAATAAATTTGCTAGCCGATAATGTATTGCGTTCTTCGCATAATATAGACAAGCCTCGATCAAAATAATCTGTCAAATAAAATAAAAAATAAATAATTATTTATATATAAAATATAAGATTAGAAGCATAATCTTTTTTCGCCTGTGCAAAGCAAAGTTCAAAAATTAAATGATCTGAAACTATGCAGAACTGCATTCCTGGAGAGAAAAAAAGCGCTGAATGGAACTAAGCAATTGGAAATTTGCAAAATAAAATTAGAAAAAAAGATCAACCTTCATAGCAGTGATGTCCCAATTTTACCAAATCCAGTAAACGTAAATTTGGAGTACTCCATACAACTTTAATTAATTCTGTACGCCCCCTAAATTATTACAATCACTAAGTTAAACAATATATAGGTGCAATCAAAGTGCAATTATCATCAATTTCTTTAGAAAAAAAAAGATTGAATTGGAAATACAAAAATGTTACAGTTAATTATCCCTGCTGTGGCTATGGTTGCTTAGTGATTAATCTTCAAACTAATTAATTTAAACGGTAATGAGCAGAGAAAAAATTTTATTAATCCTGTCATGATTACTTATTCATCTCACTATAAATAGCAAATGCTATCCCTATATTATTTAGCCAATTGCAGATTAAAAGAGAATCTACGAAATACAACTAACGAAAAAATCCACGACATTACTTATTTCCTAAATCTAAAAAGAATGCTGGAATAAAAATTCATAACAACAACAACAACTAAAAAACTTACATAGCAATTAATTGCAATAAAATTTCATTTCTGATATGAATACAGCACCAATCGTCATCAAACAATATCTTCTCATCCACTTTCTTTTGTTGTCTGTAAAAATCAGGTCCTATCAAAAGTTATCAAAAAAACCTTCCATGCAATCCTATCCACCAGAGATCACTATTTCGTTTTTTCTTTAAAATCAAAAACTCTTATTCAATCAAAGGATAAACAGTTCTAAATGGATATGAATAAGTCAGAACGATAATAGACTCTGCAAAGAAAATCTGTAAAGATTGCGATAGACCAACTTTCTAAGTTCAGTGATGGAGAGAGAATTGACCAAAAAAATAACAATAAATTCTAATATTACCTATGAACCTTAGTCCCAGCACAATTTATAAACTCCAGAATTTTTTCAAACTGGCTATTTCGTCCAACACAATTTGTGGAAAAAATATATAATAATAATTTACTCACACAAGTTCGGCCAAAAGCTTGAAAAAATAGAAATTCAATGACACAATTTCACATCCAGAAACATGGATATGCTCAATTCGATTTTTAAGACTTTTTGCCAATATAAAAATTTCTCGTGATTGTTCTACAGTTATCAGACTTGGATTATGCAATAGAAGTTGCGACAATCTGAAAGAAAAACTGATAAACTCAGATAAAAATTGTTAATATATGAAAAAGTTAATTTACAGCGTGTGCTATGTAGTGAATGTAATGGAAATTTCATGGTTATGTAATTATACGTGCTTATGTACATAGCATAACAAATTGAAATCTCGATTCAAATTTGAATTATGACAAACATATGTTGCAAAAAGCTCGGTGCAAAAAACATGAATTAACCTTTTGCGCCATGCAGAACTTCCTGCACATTTATCTGGCAATCCAGAATTGCTCGTCTTCAGCAGTTCGATAATGGAAAAAGCCCAACAAGTATTATATTTCCTTTCAAATATTTTGTCCAGATAATTGCATATAGTAACACCCAGAGTTGAATCCATATTGTCATTAAGCAATTGAAGAGCTTTCTCAACTACTTCTAAAAAAAATCAAATCAAAGCATCAATCAATAGTGAAATATTGTTATACACTTTAACTTAATAAAGTGTATCACTTGTAAGTGGTGTAATAAACATTCTTTTTTTAGGATTTCTTTTTGAAGATCCTAAAAAGGATGTTCACGAACATCCTAAAAAAATGCCTATTTCCGCTTCTGTTATTTGATTCAACCCATTTCATCCGATTAATCTCGTGGTTGCTATGAGCAGTTACGATGAATATAACACCGTGTAATAAAAGTTCCTCATGCCTGCAGTTCGGTAGCGCAACTTTTCATAAGTTAAAAAAATCTTTCACAGATTTTACCTCTGACCCAATTAACATTTGACAATAGAGGAACTCGGAAAATACTGAATCTAAATAGATCATGTTAATTTGAAATTTATCCTTAACAATTTTGTATGAGATATCAATTCTTCTCTGGTCTTTAAGCCCTAAACTATTTTAATTTGATTCTTAAAATCCAAAAATACAGCACAATACCTTCATCTTTATAAGAAAAATTCTTCTCTTCCAATTCGCAATAAAGCATAAATAAAGCATTCATAACTAGTATCGAACCATCAAAAGTTGACTCGCTCAAAAATTGCTGAACAACATCTCTGATAAAATCACAGTTCCATAAATCTTTATCACCGTTTGATATTATCTAAAAAATGATGGGTAATTAAGAATAATTCGTAATTATTGAAAGAAAAATTTGGAACCTGAATTTCATAAAACAATTATAAATTTGATATTCTATCGTTCCGAATTTAAGTTACTCGACACAGAAATCTTTTCATTTCATTCATTACCAACCTCTTTGATTAAACTGAGATGAATGAAATAGAAGTTGCTTTGATTCTTTACTCTGTCTGCTCCAAATTTCAATGACTCAATCAACGCATCATTTGTTTCATTGTCTGAAATCATTGAGTCACGTAAGACTTGTTACAAATAAAATATTGATCATTCAAATTTAGAAGTTAAATTATTCGATAGAAAGTTTATTAACTTCATTCAAATTTATCTGTTTTAAATTCAAGCAATGGCATATTACCGTTTATTTCTATGAAAGTTGTCTTACTATTAATATCAGTTCACTTTAGAATTTCATGATAATCTCAATATACAACTTTATTTAGATCTTTAACACGATAATACTAAATAAGCAGAAACAAATTCCAAAATGAAAAAAAGCAAACAACTTTTTGGTACGGCTTTCACCAATTTTTCAATCCAGTGATCGTCATAATCCACACACGAATTCCTAACTTTTTTTAAAAATTCTCGCAGTCTATAATTACTATCGCCATTCATTACAGCTTAAACAAGATCTGGATGAATGAAATCTGTGATATATTGAAGCTAAGATGCCAATTTACGCGTAGTTAAGTTCTTTTATTTAGGTAACTTAATTTCAAATAATGGTTATACAGATAGGACATTCAGATGTAACACTGATGAACACTACCTTCTGGATATATTTCTTCTGCATTTCACTATTACTACATTAGTTGCTAGTAAATCCTAATCAGTTAAAACCGCTCAGAACACTTCCTACATGCATTCCTCGTTTTGACCCTGAAGGCATTCGAACGTTCGGATCCTCACATGCCTTTTCAGATAAGATAGAAACTTGACGAGTAGGTTTTAGTTTAGCAAAGCATTATTTTCTAATATTAACGGAACTTCACATCCAAATATTTTGAGAATCAGATCGTAAAACACGTATTTATTTATTTATTAAACACTTTTATGTCATAAATGACGGAAAAAAAAAACAATCAGCTAACAGTGCAAATTACAATTTGATGCATCTTAAAAATATATTCAAAGCTTATAAATAAAATACCAGACAGATTAAACAAAGGATATTTGAAGAAATTTATTTGAAATCAATCATCAAACGTTCACTTTGTTTAAAATCAATTCGCAGTTCTAAGAATTAGAAAAAATTAAGGAAGTTTTAAGCCATTAATCTGCAAAAGTTATAAGTTTTTTCAAATTTGAAGACTAAGACAATTATCTTCCTGCAGCCAAATTTTAAAGAATATTCTCATGACCAATCTGAACTATAAATTACCTATCTGAGATCGACTTTGGTATGAACTCTGAACTTTCCGACAACGAATCAGAGAATTTCATATCTTCAAAGAAATTCTTATCAAACATTTCGAAGAGACGCATTTCTTCATCCAATTCAAGCTGTTGTTCCAACAGTGTTTCCTGTCGCTCCGGTTTCATTAATTTATATGTATTCATCAATAAAGCATCACCGGTAATAGTGCTAACATCAAACTGAGCAATCATTTCATCGATACTGTACAAGTGATTATTTCTATTGGGTGTCTTCCGTAAACCACGACCGGCTAGTAAAAAGTTTAAAATTGATAATTCGTGAATTGAATTATATGTCCTAACATAACTTCGAGCATTGTTATACGTTAATAATCGTGAACCACTTCGAAGCCGTAAACTTCCAATATTTATAAATGTTGGCAAGCACCACTGTAACGCATCACAGATAGGAAGCTGAAAGAAATCACGAGAGGAAGAAGCAACATGGTGACTGGCGCAAAGCGTATGATTATCAACAGTATCTGCGAAAAACGATGTTGGCAAGAAGTCTGGCCTTAGCAAGAGCTGATCCATAGCGGGTAGATATTTAGATAACTGACCATGTACTACATCCTGGTACAGGTATGCCCGATTAGGTATTCTTAGGCGAACAACATGTGACAGGCCATCCAATGCCATACTTCTAGATTCATTGCGCGTTTTCGTGAAACATTCCTTTGAACAAGGAAGCAATTTCGTTGGTTCCTTTTTCTCTGGATCTACTTCTTTCCATGTATCACTACAACAGAAGCATCGGTACGCTAAACCTGTATCAATCAACCGTTCCACTACATCAGCATATGTCTTTAAACGTTTCGCGACTGAGTATGGAGCAAATGGTCCCCCGGTTCCGGGTCCTTCATCGCGCTCTAATCCAAATCGATCCAAAAGCGCCTCAATTTTTTTAGCTCGTGGCTGTCTTCCGTGTTTGTTCAAACCTAGCTGTAGAATAAATTTCCCGTTGTTAGCTCGAGCAAACAAGAAATTATACAGTGCTCGTCGTAAGCCTTCTAATGATAGATGGTCACCGCTGATTCGTACCACTAAGCGAATTTCTTTGGCAATTTCCGTACCACAAGATAAATGACGCATCCTGAAGCAGTCTTCATGATTCTAAGAGAAAGATAAAATATGGAAAATTTTTGATTTATCTAATTTCCCAGTCAAACTAATCAGTATACTTCATTTCTTTCTAATACTGTTAACCTCAAAGAATTTTCACAATTTTAATTATACCTTTTGCTGTTAACTACAAACCCATTCTTGCAACCTGTTAGCCAAAATTAATGAGCTAAATTCCACTTACATACAACTAATAAGTAGCAAAAGATGTAATTCAGGCCTGAATATGAACTGTGTGAAACATCTAAATTAGTTCTAATAATACCTTAGTAAGCCTCATTCAGCATTAATCCACTTTAAGGGAATTAAATATCGTTGGATATGAGATTACAACCAAAATGTACGACCTATACAAGAAAAAATCATAACGAAAAAAATTAAAATTTCAGAAATATCTCACAAATATTTGATCTGACAATCAACTGATTTCGTAATTGACACACGATTCAGACCGCAGATCACGAATTTAATTTACAAAAAAACTTACATCTGCATCGAGTTCGCCTAATTAAACTTTCTCATCATAATCGCAACATATTTCATCAATTTTAACTGTAAAAATAAAAAAAAAAACATAATTTGTTTCGACAATTTATTTTGTTAGGAGTGCAAACATAAAAAGAAAATCAGCTATTCGAATACCAAAGGACATCAACTCTTTAATGGTTAATTTATTTAAAAATTCCTTTGGATATAAAATTAAAAAGTGTTCTAATACCATTAAAAATAATCTTTTATGATAATATACAATTACATGAATTAAACGCCATATATGGCGGTTTTTAAAACAGCCAACTTTATTTCAGTTTACAAACACGAGAAAACAGCATAAAAATAACAAATTTATGAAATTCAACAACTTTACAGCATATTTTTATAAATTAAAGAGTTTTTTTCCGCTTACCGAAATAATATGAAACAAAAATCAACATCTCATATTTGATAACAGATTTTAATATTAGCATCTTTTCTTGTTTGTCAGGTTACTGTTTTAAACAACTACTCTGCATAAATAAAGCTGAAGCACGAAATCAAAAAACGTTGTTTTTAAACTTAATTTCCAATTTCCAATCTAAAAATTGTGTCGAAGGCTTCAATTTTAAGATTCATTTAAGCATTTCTCACTTACAAAACATCCCACAGTTATTTTTATTCCACACTTATTTCGACTTTCAGAAATTTCTGTTAACATTGAAAACATCAGTCAAAACATCAACTATAACTCCCCATAATAATGTCCAAATTAAGCTCCATTGACATAACCATTAATTATTATATCAGCCTGATAAGGTGAGATATTTCGTAAGCTGTTTGGAACTACTTGTCTTTTTCTTCTTCGACACTGTTTCAGACATTGTCGTCTGCAGTTTTCTTTTCTTGCCGATTTTTCCTTTTACCTAAAAATAGTAGGAATAAAAGAAGTAAAAAAACTTTGAAAATCGGTCCAGAAAATTAAAATTACAATTGACAGAAAGCTTACTTGAGTCTTTTTCATATTTGTATCTTTTCTCCGAATTTTAGGTCCTAGATAAGAAGGAAGCGGCTTCTGTCCACCAGCCGAAAGATGCTTCTTTGTTTGCTCTAAATCCCGCTTATTCTTACCACACTCAATTTGCTCATTGTGCGATTGGTTCTGTTGTGATTTTTTCAGCCTTGATTCACGAAGCCGAAGAGCAACCAAGTTTTCGATAGAAAACTCAACAATGGGCCTCTAAAAGTATTAATAAATTTCGAATCACGAGCGGAATAAGTTAGAAGAGCTTTTTTCAAGTAGCTAGTCTGTTGCAGAAAATAAAAAATAAGACATTACACATTTCCAATTTTTCATCAAGGAGTAATCATGTCATTACTCACTAAAATACCAAAATCTTAAAACCAAATTACTTATGAGTAATTTTTGGAATAGATAAAATAATTTTTCCGGTTGTAAATTTTACTCAAAATAAAAAAAAATTTAATGAAACCTTTTCTTTGGTAAATACATCCGGATTATTATTTAAATGTTTTATTTTACTCAAAATAAAAAAAAATTTAATGAAACCTTTTCTTTGGTAAATA